CAAGGAAATCACTGCGACAAACCATCAAGGCCTTGCAAACATCCTGCTCGCATTTTTTGAAAATTATTAGGTTTGCTCCTCACCCTTAGCAGATCTTGTACAGACAGTCCTTCTCAAAGTATAGATCTGTATCTGCATCTTCTCTCACTCTGTGGTGAGCCTGTAGGACCGGAAGAGTGTTTGGCACTTGGGTTGTGTGCAGCAGCCATCCTTGCAACCAGGAACACCTCCTATGCACATGAAGTGTACACATGCACTGAGTACAGCAGGGACACAGGAAGGAAACCATGGCAGCAGAGGAAAATCTGTTTTTGAGATGACTTAGAGGTGATTTTTGATCCTCTAGCATACAACATACTGGAAGCCCCGGGAGAAACCCAAGCTGCAGCTCACAAATAGAATGAGTCATACAGCCACAGGCTTGCTCTGTATCATCCTCTGCCAGCAGGATCCTTCTTCTATAGATAAAAATACATCTCTAGCCACATAAAAACTTCCTGTTTCTGCTCACAAGTGACTATTACTCTCTGTCCCAGTCACTGCCCTGTTTGACGTATGAGCACTCATTACATGACCAACTCCCTGACTTCATTTTCCCATCCACAGGAGTATATGACAGAAATGAACACTTGTGGTTTGTCTCATGCTTCTGTCATATACTGAGGAGGTACATAGCATTTATCCCTCAAAGTCCTTAGCAAATAAAGTGGCCTGTGCCAAGTGAAAGCTTGACTACTGCTGGCCTGTGCAGCACTGTTATATGCAGAAGGACTTGGTATTCACTAAACATGTTGAACCAGTATAAACCCTTGGATGTTAAATTGACATCTGAAATGGGATCCAACATTTAAAATGTTTCTGAATGTCACACCAGTATTCACCATTTCTAACCAGCAGTCCTCTGAGGACTGAGGTGTATTTTTGAAATCTACGGTTGGCTAAATGGTGTGATGATTGAAGGCATTTTACCAAGACCTGTTGGTCTGCCCCTAATAATTTTATTAACTTAGAACAGATATACAACAAATTGTTTACAAATATATAGTCTTTTTCACTTGCATGGATTGAATCAGAATCTGAAAGAGTCAATAAAGAGAAATCAGTGTAATCTTTTTCCTACAGAAGCTTAAATGAATACAGCTTGAAAAACTTTAAACTCCTTTGGCACACTCTTTAGACTCAGAAGTTAACAAAATTTTCTTTAGATGTAGCCTTTTCAGTTTCCCCTCTCCAACTGCCTCTGCCTTGTGTGCTCTTTCCGTTTATAAACTACCTATTATCCTACTTTTTCTTTTAAATGAGCATATAGTGCCAATTAGTAGGGAATTTAAATACAAAACCAAAACAAACTTAAAGCAGCCAAATTGTGCTCAAACTGCTTGATTATTTTACTCATTATGTCCATAAAAACATACCTCAGGTAGTCTCCGACAAAGTTTTTAGTGGCTCTTTTACTGTGTTAATTTCCAGTCCAACCTTAGCAAGGAACAGTACTTCATACACTACAATTACAGCTGTGGAGATATTAGCCTGTTCCATGACTGGAATGTAACAGCCTATTCTGCTTGGACTACATCACAATTCAAGCATTCACGTAATTTCCCATCATATTTTCAGGTCTGGTATTCTCTAAAACCCTAATCCTTACCTCAAGCATATTTTGGTGCTCATCTCAATGTAACAAGATGATGAAATTGTTTGATCCTCTATTGTTTCTGTCCTGCTGGGATTCACAACCATGCTAAAGCTTTTCACATATACCTGTTCAGATTGTCTCTGCAGATGAAGTTCTCCCAGTCAAAACAGGAATATGCAACAAGGTCTTACTAGTTGATCCCTAAAATATAGAGAGGTCTGAGTTCACTCCAGCTGTATTAACTATTCTGGAGGCTCTTAAATGGAACTCTGGAGATCTTTATATCTGATAAAATAGAAACCACCGCTGCATCTGTACCAGTCAACTTTGATTAAACATACTTATATGAACCTCCATCCATCTTTGTTACCTGATATCTTGGGTTTTGCTCTTCAATGTACAGGAATGTGTTTCAAGTCAATCTTTCTTCACTTTCCAATACTTTCCAGATCCCATTGCAAAGACCAGCCTTCTCTATCTCTCTTTAAGTAGTGGGCTACTAATAGAAAACTGTACATGAATCTGGTTAATCAGTATATTTGATGCTGCCCGAGAGCAGACTGCTAGTCTGTTTTCAGCTGGTCTAGGTATGATCCCAATCAGAGATACCGGTTTCTTCCATGAGGACTACTTGAGCTGGGGGAAGACATATCTCACTAATCTGTTGTGTTCATGGGTGGGCATATATCATAGCTAGAAAGGATGTACCCAGCATACATCCCTGATTTTTCTTGCTCTAGGAAACCAAGTCTCAGAGGTGATAGCCATATTATTTGGAAGGATTAATATCCATATTTATAAAGACTTCTAAATCACTAAATTATCTCAGTTCTTTTGCATCTGTACATTTTCTATACGTTCCATGTTAACATGCATAAGACTCTCTTAGGGTACAAATTGTGCAAAGGTTTATGTATTAGTAACTTCAGTAACTTCTTTTAGGATTTTTAACCCTTTTAGGGTTACCACTCATGTTGTCTTCGGGGCAAATTAGGGGAATGTACCTACGACTGTCAGGTGGTAGGTCATTCTCTGAAAGCAAGCTGTCAATTCAACTAAGTTAATAACCATTTATGAGCAAAACTAATTGCCCCTCAAACCTCCACAACTGTAACCTGTAGTAGACTCAGACTGCCACCCAGAAGCTAACTGCCTGGTTTTGGAGTCATCTGATGTCTCACTTTGAGAGCACACAAGCTGGTGTGTCACAATAAGCCCTTACAGAAAATTGTTTCTTTATTCTATGTTGTTTCTTTTTTTATCAAATCAGTTATACTGCATAGAATTATCCCACCAGCAACAATCTGTGTGACAGAGATCTGTACCTGTAGCAGCATGAATCACTTTCTTCAATTTGGCACTTTCTAAACCATAACAGTTATTTTTGATTTCAAGAAATGAAATTTTCTACCATTTTACATACTTTCTTTCTGTTTTTCAGAAAAGCACAAAATATCTGAAAGTTCTTCCACTGCTATCAGATTCATGGTTTACTTATGGCTGACGCAGAAAAAGAAAGCCAATAACATTGTAGTGGGCTGTCCCTGGCTGGATGCCAGGTACCCACTACAGCTACCCTCTCACTCCCCTCTGCAACTGGACAGAGGAGAGAAAAAAGCAGCAAAGGATTCAGGAATTGATATAAGAGCTGGGAGAGGTCACTTACTTATCACCATCACAGGCAAAACAGACTGAAAGTGGCAATATTTACTGAATTTATTACTTACAGGGTCAGAGCAAAAGAGTGAAAAGGAAAATAATCTTAAAAACACCTTTCCCCCACCCCTCCTTTTTTCCATGTTCTCCCTCCTCCCCTCCCCAGCAGTTAAAGAACAGGCTGCATCAGCCTTTTAACATTTGGTACATGAGCATTACCTCATTCTAGTGTTTCTCTTCAAGACTTTTTTTTCCTAATATATAAAAAAATGGTTGCTCATGAAGAAAGTGGTCTGAATAAAGAAGTTAGCAGTTTGTGAAGGAAACCCCAAAAACATAGCCTGTACTTTGGGACTTTAACTTCCACATGGTAGTTGGGTTAAATATCTCATCTTTTGTAGATCTGCTTAATTTTGTATGCCTATGAAGGTCTCAGAAGTTGTTTTCCTACCTCATGCAGGAAAATAAAAGTTATTCAAGGGCACTCCTCCTCTTTCAAGCAGGCCAATGCAGAGTTTTTACTAAGTCCAAAGCTAGGGTTTTCCAGTAAAAAAATGTAGGAAGTAATTTAGCATTGGCTATATAAATGCATTATTTCCAACCTGAATGCAAAGTCTGTCTTGCCACCTAATTGATTTAATCCAAGCCGTTAGGGCATAGCATAATCTCAGCACTGAAAACTGCTGTAGCTCTGTGGAAATGTTGCCTCATTCCCACTGCAGCAGAATGAACATCCTTCAACTCAGGAAAATTTAACTGTGAGGAAGAACATCTATTCTAGTACCTCTACAAGCTTTTACTCTACTTTTTTCTTCATGCTAGTTTCAGGAAATAAAGGTAACCTTGGTGAGCAGTGCCAGAAAGCTTAAGAAAAGTAACAAGAAAGTCACTGAAACTAGATTTTCTTAAGATGCGGTAGATATACGTAACAGCACGTAGTAAGCCTGGGCAGGGTTTCAAAAGTAAATTGGATGCACGGATGATTTCTGACTCAGGAACAACACACATGTGCAATGTCTGCTGTTTAGAGACACCTGTATTTGACTTGTGAACATTCTCAAACCTACACCTCCATAAAGAAATTCTCACCAGCTGCGATGCCTTTAAGAATTTATACATAAAAACCGCCACACTGTACTCTGGACCAACTGTGATTTCTACGTGTATGAATGAACTTTACCTTTATTTTCTGTTAATTTTTGGGCCTACTGAGATGCAAGCATGCATCTGAAAAACGATAACTCTGTTCTGAACTGGTATGGTCACAGACCTGCAATGATAGTGTGTGAGCATTAGCAGTCACCACTGTTTGGCTTTCAAGACCCTCCTTTGGTCATCATGACATCCACAAAAAAATTTCCCCTTTTAGTCCTAATTATCTCATAATTTGCAAGTAACACAGAGTGAAGGCAGATTGCTAATTAGGTGCCAAGACTAATTTTCTTACTTTAAAAGGTAAGTTTGGACTCTGCCTAGGGTAAAAGAAACAGAAGAGAAACACTGAAGGAAATGGTGACTCTTCCTCCGACCCCTGCACTCCCCAACTCCCTCCTCATTTCCCTCTCTGCATGCCTGCAGCTCAGCTCCTTGTGCCATGTCAGCGGCAGACTCGCAAAATAAGGTGGAGGGGGAAAAATAACCCTTGGACATTGAGCAGAGAGGGGGGTTGGAGCAGGCTAAAGGACAGGAGAGGCTGTTAGAGCCGTTGGGGGGTGACAGTTGTGCAGCTGTGGGAGAGTCCCCAGGTGAGCGGCTGCTCCAAGGCAGGGACAAGGTGTGCAGGTGGGAAGGGGGCTGGCGCTGCCTGTCTGCTCCTGGGTGGGCACCCACCTCAGGAGTGAGTGGTGCCCAAGCCGATGTGCGATGGTGTGCTTGTCATGGAGAGTGTGTGTCAAACCACTGGGTGCACGAGCACCTGGGCGCTCTTCCAGGTTACGTACGGCACCCTGAGTAGACACTGTCGCCCCTGAACTTGTGTGTGCCAGTGCATTTTCTCACTTCTCATGTTTCTGTGTGTGTGCATGTGTGTGTGTGTGCATGTGGGAAGGGGTCTTACACCTGCATGCATGCGGGCTCACCCAGGCCTGCTCGTGGAGAGGGCCTGCACGGATGAGTGTCCACCTGTGTAGTGGAGGTGCGTGTTGGCATGTTTGGGTGCCTGCAGAAGGATGAGTCTTTGCATGCACTTGTGAAAGCATACAGGCATGCATGTATGTACAAGCTGCAGTGTACCTCAGTGAGTGTTTTGCATCCATAATTTCTTGTATTTAATCCAGTTTCATAGAATTCAAGGGTAGGGAGCAGATGGTCCATCAGACTGCTATCTAGGAACACACAAGGATCCGCTATCATACACAAGAACTTATGCACAGGGAACTATATGTCTGTATGCATGTATTTACACACAGGTGCATGTTAAAATCTCGCAAACTCTTGAGTATCTTCATATGTACATCTTCTATGTATATATGTCAATGAGGGTTTGTCCTAAGATATAGAATGTCTGTCTGCAAAGACTGTGCATATATGAACGTCAGTTTGACACTGCATCCGGGTGTGCACCCAGGTCTGTTTTTATATCTGACTAGTTCAAGGAAGCAGTCTTGGTTGTAAAATGTGTAGTCAGAGGTGTAGCATTTGCACATCCATGATGAAGTACGGATAGCAAAATGCCTTGTATCAAGGCTAGAGAAGCATCTTGTCCATAACATAGATAATGGAGAAAATATGCTGGCCTGTTCAGATTTTATCAGTATAATACTGACTGCATTACTGAGAGAATGGTATGTGAAAATTATATTTAAAAGTATAGATGTCATGTGTGTCTTCACATGTCCATCTCACACAGCTACTATTCCATACTAATGTGTATCTCTATATTTGCATACAACAGCAAGTGCCTGCTCTGCAGTGCTTTTGTTTGCCATCTGAGCCTGTATGACTGCATATTTTTAGTTAGGGAGCGTGTGTAGGACCACTGGGATGTATAGGCCATTATCACATGTGTGGTTTATGTTTTGCAGATCTAGCCTTGCAACACTTTGATTGTCATTGCTCAGTGACAGAAGGTAACACTGAAAGACATGCTCTTTTGCTGAAGATTTCCTACCAATATGCCATATTTCCATCTGTTAGTTTCCTCTAGATTCAATAGTAGTATCATCTCCTCAGTCTTTAAAAGACAGAAATTAATGCCATGCTCTGTCTCACTACCTGGGTTAAGGGATTTGAAGAAAGCCTGCATTTAAAGTTTTATTTCTTAACAATATTTTTAGATCAGTGTTTAGATTAGAGTTCTCACATTGATCACTATGCCTCAGTCTGTGATCTGAAGGGAGTAGCTTTGATGGGAATATCAGGATAGTTCAAACTCTGGACATATTTGCTTGTTGACTTGTCAGATAACAGTGCCAGTGGAGGTCACACTCATGGTGGCATTTTCATTTTACCCAAGATGAAGACCCCCATCTTAACCAAGAACTTTGGAAACTCAGGCTCCTGATGCAGTGATAACATTTATTGTTCAGTCAAGATTCATTTGGAAACAGAAGTCAAACTTGATCCACATATGTATCTTAACTGAAATCGTTGTCCTGCCCAGTTCACAGTTAATTATCTACTGAAAAAAAAAAAAAAAAAGAAGAAAAGAAAAAAGAAGGACATTGTTTATTAATGACAGAATAATAAATGTATCAGGATTTAGTTTGGGAGATTAGTTATGGAGCACAAGTATGTCATTGCTTTTCATGTATCCCAGCAGACAGGAGGGTCGATTTGATGTTTTCAGAGTGGAAGTTCTTTAATCAATATTTTTCTGAAATGGTCCAGTGTTACAGCAGCTGTCATCCCATCAAGGTCCCTGTAGCTACTCTAAAGAATTATAAGCTTGAAAATTGTTGAGGCCAAAAGTTTTGAACACCCCAGGAAATTAAGAAAGTACATTTTGTTCTGTTTCTTGTACTATCAGGGCTTGGCAAACAAGTTGTATATTGCTCCACAGAATTCCCACATGGGGTATTAACTGCCATTGCTGTAGGAGCTTCAGTTGAGTTAATTCTAAGGGAATCGGCAGTGATGTTCTGAAAACCATATAAATCAGTTCTGCAAGTCACACAGTTTTTTTAAAAAACTGTTAAATGTGCTTCATATTTTAATGTTTCCCATAATTACAGGGAAATGGCAAGCAAGAAAAAAGAAATCCAACTCCAGGTATAAATCTTAATTGCTTAAACTATTTGAGAGAGGAAGAGATGTTTTTTCTCCATTTTAAGATGTTAAAATATCAGTTAATTTTATTTCAGGTCATAATAACCAATCAAGACCAGTGGGATGAAATGCTGCAGACGAATGGTATAGTAGGTACTAACAGTTGCTATTTTCTGTTTAGTCTCTCATGGAAATATGTACAGTTTTTCATACTTATATATCACCTTTAATAGATACTCATAATGAACCTAGATGAGTAGTGCCCTATTACCTTTTAAAGAAAGGCTATATGAATATATATTTATAAATGTATATCAAAGAATCATTTCCAATATGGTATTGTCTATGGTAGGGGGTTGGAAACTTCCATGGAAGTTTTTCCCTAAAATTTTGCACAGACTAAATTAATACTGCTGCATTCTTGGGAGTGCATGTTCTATGATGTATATTATTCCCAGTTTTCAGTTCAGTTAGTCCAAAACCAGTGTCTCCTAGGAATTGTATTCGGGTAGGAGGAACAAATATGTAATAGGATCATATCTACAGAGGGTTAGTAATGGGAAAGAAATGATCTGCACAGGTCAGGGAGGTAAAAGTCTTGCAGAAAAAAGACCTAGATAAGAATTAAAAGCAACAGTGAGAAAATAAAAAGAGCAACTAAAAGGAAAAGGAATGTGAGACAAAAGATGTTGTTCAAATTAATAATCTCAAATATTCTCAAAAGTAAGTTTTCAATGTCAAAAGTAATTGAAATAAAAGAGGAAACCCTAATGTATCCACTGAGTACCTTGACTTATTCATGATGCATTAATTGACTAGAAGAGGACTGAAAGATACACGAGAATGCCTCCCCAGTGCTGCTGCAATCTATACATAAATGTGTCTCATTTTATAAGTTCCACAAGTCAGCTGTTTGTAATTCCAAACTATTACATTTTAGTAATAGATGTGTATCAAGCTTGGTGTGGTCCTTGCAAAGCTGTGATGAACGTATTGAGAAAACTGAAGAATGATTTTAGTGAAGACAATGTATTACATTTTGCCGTGGTAAGGATGCAAATTTTGTGTGGGACTTTATTAACATTTTAATTTAAATATATCTTCTTATCTGCATATACAGAGCTTTCATTTTACTGTCTTTATGATGAGTTGTCATAATTTTGGCCTGCTTGCCTCTTCTTCTACATGTCTCCTCATATGACTTTGTCTAGAAGTAGATTAAAAATGGAATAAATATGTAAGAAGCTATAATAAAATGAAGCTGATATCCCAAAACTTTTGTTTTTCTTGATGAGATTGCAGAAATATTCAAAAGCCAGCCTATATGATTTTTAGTTTTATGTCTTTATATTATGGATTATCACATTTAAAATTCTTGTGTCCCTGAAAAACTGTTGCATTTTTTATCTCAAATATTCCCTTGTATTTCATTTTTAAGAGAACAAAAAAGGGGAAAATTAAAAATAAATTATCACTGAACTGTAGTAGTAAAAATACCTATTTACACTAGTAGTATATATATACTTCTTCCTTTATCTATGTTATTATAACCTACATGAGAAAATAGTATCAAGAGAAGACATTATTCCATGATTGATTGCTGTAATATTGAGAAGACAATCCCATGTTACCAAAACAGTTCTTTCTTCATCACCATAAGGACTGTTACTTGTATTTAGGACTGCATACACACTTTTGTAAGCAAATAATCTTTTTTGTCTGACTTCAGGCAGAGGCTGACAGCATTGAAACTCTGAAACCATTTAGAAAAAACTGTGAACCTGTGTTTCTTTTTTGTGTTGTAAGTACATCACATCAGTTTCTTTTAATGTGCTGCCTACTTTTGCCTTAACTTTTCAAGATTTTAAAATAGATGTGAAGAAGTATAAATTCTCTCTTTACATTTTACAGTATGTAGAATGGTACCATCAGATATTGTTTACTTGAGCTGTCTCCCATTCCTAAATCTGGTGGCTCTTGAGCACATTTTTGTTGTGGCTGTTGCACATATAGCCACAGAAGAGCTATGGAAGACACTGTTTTGGTAGTTACTTAGTGAGAAATCCATATAAGTTTTCCAGGTTTGCATCACATAAAGTGCCTACATGTGGTTACACTGGAAATGATTATTTTATGCACATTTTCTATCAGGGAAATAGAATTTACAATTCCTGTTGCTATAAAGTTTTTAAGATAACAAATAAAAATGTGTTTGTAACACTTACGGAACTGCAGCAATTAATCATATATTTATGATTTCTCACTGATAGACACAGATAGACTCTTGTCCTAGGACACCACCATGGAACACTGCTCACTTAGGAAGTGGTGGGGTTTTTTTACTTGAGGGTATCAGGATTTGAATTCCCATAACTAGGGACCAGAAACAACGATACTTTCAGGACACTTTCAGGTCTGAATCTGAATGCTGCCTAGAGAAGTTAGTAGTATCTTTGGTCACCATTAGTTAGCTTTGTTATTGCACACCTAAACATGGTAAAACATGCTCTGGAATCTAATCCAAAAAAAAAAAAAAAGACGACAGAAAACTCCATGTTCTACAAATTACAAGCTAGTAGAATCCATATTTGCATTTGCTTCCATCTGTACTGTTAATGGTGAGCCTTGAAAAAAAACGTGGAAAATTAGGTAGAGAAAGAAGTAAGGAATTAAAAACAGGTTAATTCTGAACAAATAGAGACAGTAGTAGCTTTGGTATTCCTTCATGGGCATAGGAAGTAGTCCTGTAGGTGGAAAAATTAACAAGATATAACATGTTTCAAAAGCTGAAGTAAATGTGTAAACTAAGAGATGAAAACTCACTGAAAGTGTTATTTTCTCTTTTACAGAATGGCAAAATTATTGATATAGTGAGAGGTGTAAATGCTCCTCTTATAATTAAGAAAGTAACAGATCTAGTGGAAGAAGAGAGGCAAATTGCAGCTGGAGAGAAGGAACGCACTGAGGTACTCACAAACCAGATACTTACATATATTTGTGTGATAGTGTTTTAGGTAATGTTTAATTTTTTGTATTTTTGTCTTAACAGTAAAGTGATATATGTGGCAGGTTTTTTTTGCAGAAATTTCGCAAAATTATCTGCGTTCCAAGAGACTCTTAAAGATCATAGGCAGTGACATCTTTCACTAGATCAGGTTGTTCAAAGCTGTGGGGATTGCTCTGTACTTAAAGAATCCAGTTTGCTACAAAAGCCAAAGGACTTTCAACAAGTTTATTCCATCACCTTTCACTCCTAACTTCCAGATGACATGAGGACATAAGGACAGCTTAGTCTGACTTCAACAGCCTACACTGCAAACAACTCTACAGTCGGAATTTATAGTAATAGCAGAATTAATCCTCCCTTGCTGGATATTGTCTCCAGAAAAAAACAAATATCCATTATGGCTTAAAAACTTAAGAAATTTACAGATTAGCCTATTAATGCAAGAAATTGAGAAATGGACAAAATGTCACTAGCACATAGAGGTTTCAGTAATCTTTTTTCTTTCAGGGATGAATATTTTTAATATATAACTAGTAACTGCATCATATGAAACAGACATGAGAAATAGTTACGTCTCGTTGCTTGTTTTGAGTGAAAAAGATCAAAAAACTCCACTTACAGTAAAAAGAGACTCTTAACAAACTGCAGCTCAAGGAAAATCAGACCGACCTAAGGTCTTTCTTAGATTTGCTTGTTTTCCACAGTAGAAAATTCATTCTTAAATTAAGATAGAAGTGTTGTAAAGATCTGACAGCTGTGTTTCATGACTTTACCTTTTAATGGTGGTGTACTTTTGCTCTATTTGCAATTACCCTAGGTAGCTGAACTTGTTTTTCTAGAAGAAGAATCATCAGAAGAGACTATTGAGGAGACTGGAGATGAGGGTAAATATATTTGATTTATTTTAGAAATGGTAAGAGGAAGAAAGAGAACAAATGTCTTTTGATTAAGAATTGTCTGTGTCAAGCACTAATAGACCTTCCTTTGGTTGAGTTAATATGAGACACTATGATTCAACTTTTTTCAGTAAGGAATTAATACATTGGACTGTCATCATTAATATTTTCACCCTCACACTGGGAACTGTCAGACTTTAGATGGAAGTGATACATGCCAGGGAACTTTTCCATGTAAAATTAGGGCCTGAAAGTCACTTCTACACAGTCCCTGTGTTAGCTATGCACTTTTGTTGAGGTGGAATACTATGATGGGGTCAACCTGAGAGGACTGAAAGAGTTAATCTGTGAATCAATGGCATGCCTTGTATCTCAAATTATTTCAATTAACTCTTTCACCAGACTAGATTTAAGAGCAGACTTATGTAAGAGCAAAAATCCACAGTATAGCATGATAAGCTTCCAAAACAAATGAAAAAAAAGCACCATCCTGTTCGCAAGTCCCCTGTCTGTGATTTATCTCAGGCTTCTCATGAGCTGAGACCTAAATCTTTTCTAGTTTTATTGTTATCTGTGGTTACTGAACGTTCCTACACCTTCATATATGCACAGAATGCCATTCTTCAATGTTGAGTTGGAATAAACCCCTCCCTCATCTCTTTCTTGATCTTGGTTGTGTTTTTTTTCCTGTGAGAAGGCATTAGATTACAGACATGGATTAAGATGTGTCCCTTCTCCTTCCTCTTCATGCCTTCTTTATTGTATGGTTCAAGTGACATATCCCTGACCTTAGCTTTAGCCAATATTCTTCCTCATAAACCCTGTGAGACCTAGTAGTACAGTATTATCATTTAGCAAGTATCTACAAGCTTCACACTAATCCACAAAACCTAAATGTGATACAAAATCAGAGAACAGAGCTTTCAGCTCAGGTTCAGCTTCAAGTCAGGGGATCTCTCAGAAACTGTAATATATTAACATATTATATTGGGGTAACATTTTTGTTAACACATGCATGTGCCTGTAAGTGTTTTCTAGTACTGGAAACAAGTAGCAGTTTCCATTAGCTGCTATTTCCATTAGCACTATCATTAAGTTCTTCTACAGTGTTCAGAATGGGATTCAGGTACATTCTAATGTTTAAGGTTCTGCAAAGATGATGCAGTGTATATTCCCTTCTGATCATTTTCAAGGATCTGTATGCTATGGATGTTGCAACAGTCTGTCTGTACTGTTACAGCAAGGAACACCTTATTTTAAACATTAGATTGTACTAGCAAGCATGTGTGACCAACACTTATTAATTGCAAATGACTTCAGCATTCACAATGCCAAGGAATCAAACATATTCTATGACAAGAACTGCATATTTTACGGGGAATCTCCAATATTTGTACAGATTTTCACTTAGTGAACTTCCTTAGTAATAGTAATTCCTTTCACATTTCTACTCTTGTACATACAGAGCTCCCTAGACAAAGCCTCCCTCTTAAGCTGAAATCTTTTCACCATAGCTACCTGCATGTGAACCATTTCTCCCTAATATTAACCGCCAAAAAATGTGGTTCATCAGGAATGTGAATTCCAGGGATAGCCAAGGGTGGCCCTGCACTCCAAGACATGCTTTAAGTGCTGGAGTCAATTTTTGGAACCACTGTTTGGCCATCTCAATATTAAAATGGAGAATTATTTAGAGAAACTCACTTGTAAGTAATGAAGCATTTTGTTCTGTATTTATTTTGATGAATGTATTAATTAACATATTACTCTTTTTTCCCTTTTCCAGAAGAAATACTCAGATATTCTGTTGGAATTATAAAACCTAATGATGTCCTAGAGGGACGTGTAGAACAAATTAAAAAAAAGGTAGACAGAATTTTAAAATACTAATTCATCCTATTTATTTAAGAGGCATAGTAGCAAGATGTAAGACTAAGTAGATCCTAATTTATGCCCAGGCTTTAGAACAAGATCTGTTAATGTTTCTCTGGTAAGGATGATAAAAGGACAATAATTTTGACCTGAAATAATATGGTATTCAAATTTATACTATTATTTTAATATTTTATGCCAGTAGATGAGGTAAAATATTGACTCACACTGATTCTGTTACCAAAAAAATGCCTTATAACACTGTATATCAAGATAAACTCATACAAATTTTAAAAAGTGACCTTTGCATGAAAGGAAATCAGAGTGCTATATAGTTTGTTTCTGCAATTAATCTACTGTAGCCAGAAAATAAGGTCAGAAAAAACCCAAAATACCCCCCAGAAAACAGGCAGTGCTTGAAAATTATTTAGCTGGGGCTGAAGAGCTGTTACTTGGCTTATGAGGTGTGCACCTACGCTGTTTCCACAGTCAGTCTTGTCGAGGCTGTCTGGAAACACTCTGCAGCATCATCAAGAGCAGAGTTCCAGTAAGCAGATTAATATTAGCATATGATCAGTATTGGGACTGGACAATGCCTTTGTTATTAAAATATCAGTATTATAGCCAGGCGGAGGTTGGTCTCTTCTCCCAGGCAACCAACAATAGGACAAGGGGACATGGGCTCAAGCTCTGCCAGGGGAGGTTTAGGTTAGATGTTAGGAAGAAATTCTTTACAGAGTGGGTTATCAGGCATTGGAACGGCCTACCCAGAGAGGTGGTGGATTCACCATCCCTGGAGGTTTTTAAAAAGAGATTGGACGTGGCCCTTAGGGCCATGATATAGTAATTGGAGTTGGATCAGGGGTTGGACTTGATGATCTTGGAGGTCTTTTCCAACCCAATCTATTCTATGATTCTATGATTCTATGATTCTATGATTCTATGATTCTATGATTCTATGATTCTATGATTCTATATGGTATAAACCTCATACCAGTGGACTATGAATTTGACACAGGTCATATAAGCATATATCACTTACATATACTTGAATTTAGTGCAGTAATGTAGCTTAAAAGAGAATATATTAAAATAGATTTAATTTTTCTTTATTTTTAATTTTTCTTTATTTGCTCTATCTGAAGCCAAGTAGTTTAGCCTGATACGAATTGATCACATCTACATGACTACCTTGATTATAACAGAGTTTATAATAAAATTTTTAGAAGTATTTGCATATTAACCAGTCACAATGGGCAAAAGGAGTTTATTCAATGTGAAATAAAAGGGATTATTAACTACTGAGTGAATGTATTCCATACATTGAACTGCACTATAATTTTCAAAAACATTAATTTATGAGTATTGTAATGCTGAATTTAGTGAAGTGCTTTGAAAGGCTGGAAGTTCAGTTTAGGCAAAGATAGCCGTTATATTTTGAATACAACAGCAATATATTTTGAATTTCAGGGAATTTTAAACTTAAGATAACTTTCAAAATCAATCTTTAGATTTACAGTAACATACATTTTGTATATATCCATTTTCAAATGCCACTGAGTAATAACTGAATAATTGCAGATTAAAGATGCAGGATTTGCCATTAAAGCAGCAGAGGAGAAAATGCTAACTGAAGAGCAAATCAGAGTGTTCTATGCCCGGAATAAAGACCAGGTAAAAGCAAACTAAAAACTTAAATGAAAGGAGAGGGTAAAACATATCACTGTAACTAGATGTGGTTGCAAATCTCTGTACTGTATTTTTTTAGTATGTCAAAAAACTGAATTAATGTAGATTTAGTTCACAAAAAATTTTCTTCACTCTTGTCATTCACATTTTAACCCGTAACAACATAGTACTTGCTTAAAGTAGTGCCAGGACTTCTTTTATCTCAATTAATTTTGTTTTAGACATCTGATAATGTTGTCTCAAATGATTGCTAAAAAACTTTGCAAACAATCTAACCGGGTTCTGACTAATGTATGTGAATCCCAGTTTTGAATAGGAATTTATGAGTTACTTTGAAAGGATGATTGTCTCATTTCTGATTATAAACACAGAGTTCCTGCAATTCATGATGGAAAATTATGTTTTTTAGCCTGACTTTGAAGAATTTGTTCAATTCATGATGAGTGGACCATGCCACGTTTTGGTATTCACTAAAAAAAAAGACACTGCTGCCATTCCTCACTGGAAAGAACTACATGAAACACATGACAGTATGTCTGATACATCTGAGCCAGAGAGGTAACTAACAGTGAAAATGTGTATATGTGATTCAGTTACAGTGTCCAGAGCACACCACAAGTCAAGGCATGTTCTTCAGATGCAGATGTGCCCATGCGCGAAGGGTTCAGGGAGTAGGCATAGTTCTTCACCTGGTCCTTCACAGGACCACCACTAGAGATGCAATTTCAGAAACTCCATACTTCCTAGTTAAAGATGACAAAAAAATGTCTTTGATCTCTTTGAACTAGCCTTGAATGGGTTCTCAGACCAGTGGGAGCAGTGCTACACTTCAAAAATTATGTAGTCCATGCAATTCTACTTCATACTCATTCACCCAGACCAAGTGACTGCCAGCACTGCCGACTGAAGGTTGCACTTTTGCCCATGTTCACTCCTTTGTATCCTGGGAAGGTGTATATGTGGCTCAGAGGAGACCAGGGGACACCTGAGGCATGTTGTTCTCCCTGGGAACACTGCAAAAGCCATCAGAGAAGGGGTAGGGTACTGGGGTTTGTGTGCCCACTCCGCTCCATGACACATAAAACATTTTAAGGATTAATTGTTCACAACCATGGTATCCTGAAATGTCTGTTTTTCTTCTGTACCGAGAGTTTGTAGAGAAAGAGGATGATAGTTGTATACACAGCTTCAGACAATAGTGTTCACAAAAATTCAAATATCAAATCAAGTTTCACATTTAGACAAGAGACTTACTTAAAGTAACAGGAACTTAAATACTTTGTCCAAGAAATAATTTGTCATAATGATGGATATTTTTGTTGATGACTGCTGTATCTCTTTCTGCATTAATTTAGTACAACTGAGGAATACTGCATTTTATGTAAGTGGACAAGAGGTACTTTATTTACATAGCTATATAAACCTTAGACATACAGGTAAGTAACAATGAGAAGTATCTCTGTTACAGACAATTCTGTATTGCTATCATTTTTATGATCATGCTGTACACAAATAAAGCACAAGCCTTTGTTTGATCATTTATTATACACTGTACCCTTGCCAGTAGTAATTCTTTCTCATGAAACAGAGGGACTTTCTTGAATAAGCTAGAGGGAAATTACTAAAGCTATGTGACTGAGATTTCTCTTTCAGAGCACATGAGGCATATGAGGCACTTTTTGAGAAAATTAGTAATTGTCTTCTCAGAAACATTATTTTGCTCATGAATCTGAATTTAATGAAAGCTTAGTTTTGCATTCTATTCTTATGTTTCACTAAATTTTAACATACAAATACAACTTCAAGAACGCAGCTTATTAACACTACGCATGCAGTGACTTAAAAACTATTACTTTATCTTCCGTTAGCGAGCTAGCACTCGTGGAAGCTGAGAGTCTAGTAAATCTATGTGACGTGCAAGACAGTATCGAAGATGCCAGCAGACAACTTGGCTTCTTTTTCCCAAATTTTCATATACATCAAACAGAACAAGCTGAAAAGACTTTGGCCATAATTAGACCTACTCTCTTAAAGGAAAGACGAGGTAAGTGTTAATAACTGTATTTTGTATCTAGGGTATATAAATAGTCTCATATTTTGAATTTTGAATTAAAAATTTTAACTCAATTAATGAAAAGTTTTTAGGTTATATTGTCTCCCCAGAATTAGGCCACCAGTAATTTTTGTCTGGAATGAAGTTATATGGTTAATGTTTTTCATATATTGAGAATGTAAATGTCAATGCTATTTTGTTCCCTTGGTTGATTTTTCAAGAAACTCTGTAGATTGTATATTTGGATGGAATATTTGTAGAAGACATCTCAGATAAGCTAGTATTTTCAAATGTTTTATAGGGGACCATATTTCCCACCATAATAAAGTAGCTGATATTCTTGAATGGCAGCTCCAAGATAAATCAATGGCAAGGTAAAAAAGATCCAGTCTAAGATATTCTATGCTGCATAATGTGGTGTTGCTCAAGGGCAGGTCTAAACAGAAAACATTTTTACAGATTAAATAAAATAATCTACCGCATTAACATGAACTTTCATCCAAACAAATTTACTTTTCTTTTCAATCATATATTTGCATTTCTTCCTAGATTTCAGATAACACTTATTTCTAACTTGAGAATCTCTGTACTTGAAATAACCTATACATAGGATCTGAAAGACTACAATTTTGATCTTTCCTTGGGTATTTATATTCTTGATGGTTGTCTAGTATGTTGCTTAGAGCAGCAGTTCTGCAGGTAATTACATCATCTGTAGGTAATTACAGAGTTATTTTGACTTGTGCCAAATACTGCTTACTTACCCATGTGGTCTTGTAAGGCTTAGTTAAATAAACATTCACCTATTCAAGTTCCTTAGACCTTCTTTTGGTCACAGTAATGTATATCATATTCCTCAGTCAGTAATTCCTAATGAGGTTTCGGAAGTAAGAGAAAACCTTAAGAAGATGAGGATCAGCTTTCTGAGTGTTCAGGCAATTCCTGAAGCGCAATAACATTTGCTTTATATTAGTTTTCTGTTCTTTGGTTAGGAAATTAATTCACCTGTAAAAATTTAACATTATCATTGAAAAGTCCATGTCATTTCTCTGAAAGTGTGCAAAGTAATGCATGGATGGCCATTTAGCATTATTTCAATATATTTAACAGATTCTATCATACAAAGGATAAAGGACGATGGCTTCAAAATAGCAATGCAGAAAGAAATAATCCTATCTGAAGAACAAGTGCGTACATTTTACAATGAGCATGTAAATGAAGACTACTTCCCAGTCCTTCTAGAGCAAATGACCAGGTATATTGAATAAAAATGAACATGTGGATCTACAGATAAGACTGAAATTTTCACAATAAATAATTGTAGAATGACAGAATCAGAAAATGGCTCAGGTTGGAAAGGACCTTTAAAGTTATCTAGCTCCAACCTCCTGCCATGAGCAGGGACACCTTCTACTAGACCAGGTTTCTCAGAGTCCCATCCAAATTGCCCTTGAACACTTCCTGGATAATACATGGCTATAACATAGACATGTATATAAAGGTTTAGTAAAAGTCAAAACAGGATCAGATAACTGCAGATAATGAGATAATTCCCAGGTATAACAAATAAATAAAAAAAATGAGGCCTTCAAAAATTACCAGCTACTCCATATCTTCGTATGCATGATGTCAAAGTCAGCAGCCAAGTCCATTGCTTTGGGTGAAACCAGTTTAGCTCTGCTCTGAAAGGCTGCATTTAGGTTGTCTTGAGGCGAGCTCTGAAATCTTTAACCAGGCTGTGTGTTGGATACCTTGGGGAGGAGAAATGAATCATGTCTGGATATTCCATTCATATGAAGTTAGGATATGGCGGGGGCATGAGCAGTGTTTCTACATCTTGCTGTTGTGATAAAACTCAGTTCCTTTGCAATTTAAATTCATGTTTAAGCCTCGTAAGGTTTTATCAGACTGTAGTTGTTTAAACAGAGATCAGTTTTAAAGTCCTCTCATACTAGGGCTCATTTTCCTAGCCTGGACTATATGTAATCAAATTACTTTGAAAAGTACTGGGAGTTTAATTTTTTTTTTTTTTAATGCTAGTTTTCCCATTTTACAGTGGTCCAACTCTTGTATTGGCTCTAACACGTGAAAACGCTGTATCACACTGGAGAAGTTTACTGGGCCCAAAGACCCTTGAAGAGGCTTGCAAAGAAAATCCAGACAGGTATAAGCCACAATAGTAAAACATCATTCACAGCTTCCAATTTACTTTCATATTTCTCATCTCAGTGAATACAACATTCCAACTGGTGTAACTATAGTGCCATCATCTGGAAACTGATATGCATTTCTGCAATTTGTTAAGCTTTTCTTGGAAGTAGGAGTGTATTACACATAGAAACTATGGCATCTTTTGAGAAATAATGGATGGTAATAATAATAAATAGCTGAGTTTAAAAAAGGGTATTGAAGTGAAAGGGAATCTCTTGAATCAGAGAAAAAATGTTGGTAAAACCTATTCTTTATAGGGTTTTTTTTCTTGAAATACCACTATTATTTTTTAGAACAAATGATTTTTCTCTTGGCTTAATGAAAATTTTGTGTCAGTAGAGTATTTTATTTCTGACTTAAGTTTCTCCTACACATTTTATAAGAGGACATCTTAGTTCTACCTATTTATCATATTGTTTTAAGAAAGTGCTAAGAAAGTGCTGTAGTATCATCTTACCTGTTGCTGATAGAAGTGCTGTCTCATTAAGAAAGAATTGGTATTTCTTGGAAATACAACAAGATGAGAGTTGGGGGGGAAGGCGTTCAGATTTCAGATTGTCAGATCAACACTAATTTATATATTACAATATATAAGAATATAATATAAATAAATAATTTATATATTTATATTCATTCACTCAAAGCTAATTATAATTCATTTCTCAATTCATAGCTATTCCTTTAAGTAACTTCACTCTTTTAATGACTCTTAGTTTGCGTGCACAATACGCAGTCGACAATGTACCTATTAATCAGCTGCACGGCAGTTCTACACCTGATGACGCTCAGAAGGAATTAGAGTTTTTCTTCCCTCAGGAACAAACTTTTGCATTAATCAAACCTGAGGCTGTTAAGACTCATAAAGGTAAGTAATTTAGAAAGTATGGGCTATGTCTACTGATGCAGACATTTCTACAAAATATTAGCAACGTACACTGGAGTAAATCACATCAAATGCATTCTTTTGACTCTCTGAAATGTATTTTCTGTGCAGAGAAATAATTTTACGGGGCTTGCATGATTCAGGTCGAGATCTCAGATGTGAAATTTCCTTTGCTTAAGCTGCCTATAGGTCTTTCTTCATGAGAATAATGGTGAATTGAAGAAAGAGAGTTCTTAGATAAGTTAAACTGTTGAAAGGCTAGCTGCCTAGCATCCTTTTAAGTCAAAGGAGAGAGACTTTCCAAAGTTATGTTACTTACTTCAGACAAGTATCTCTACTGACTCAAAAGGGGTCATTGCTCAGTTAGATTCATTCCTATTCTTGGTTTAACTTGCCATTAGACAAGGGGAATAAGGAGGAAACATCAAAGTAAAAAGTAAAAAGAGTACCATGTACGATTTGGAATCTTGTCTTAAAGATTTTTGAAGCCACTTTTAAAAAATCTTATATCCAGAGCCTCTTCTGATCATTATTCTTTTCTATTCTATTTAAAATAAAATTCAATAGTCTTTCTAATGCTAATTCATCATTGGCTTTTGTGAGTCTTTCTTCCCCTCTTGTAACAATCCAGATTGATTCTGGCAGGCCAGCTGGTACTTGATATAGCATAACAACTACAGTCCACGTTTTATCCAGTGTGAGAACAGTGAATGTTATTGGTATAGTTCATAACAGTCTGGGTTTAACACCTTCATCAAGATGGACAATGTGATTACAATGGTTTCTGTACATTTTATAGGACTGTTGAAGTGTTTATTATGTTGTCCATGGGTGTTTGATACTGTAACAAGAATTTTAATAGATATTGGTGACTTTTTTAAAAAAAGACATCTAGTATTTTCTGAAACTTTTAAAGTTTGGGTGTGTTGGGAGTTTTTTGCATCTAAACCATTTCAATCAAAAATGAGCTTGTTTGTTATTCTCCTAGATGACATTATGAAACAAGTTAAAGAGGCTGGATTTAGCATCTCAAAGATAAAAGAAGAAGCTTTAACTCGTGAAATGGCCGCACAGTTTTACAAGGATCATGAAGGAAAACCCTTTTATGAACAGTTAGTGTCTTGTATGACTGAGTAAGTATTTTCTTTTACAGTACTGAGGTATGTAAGTAGACATCACACTTTGAATTTACAGTGTCGACAAAACATGCTACACCATAAGTGGTATAAGGATTTTACACTCTGTCACTCTTTCTGTCAAGTTTAGAGGGTTCTAGCACAGAGTGCTCTTACTTTAAAAGGAAGATTTAAAATTCTTTCCAAACTTATGTGTAGTGACTATTATTTTGGAATTTTTTTCTCAAAAAAGGAACTGCTTTCCAATAGAATCCTTGTTCTTCCCATGCAGGACAAAATATCTTTCTCACAATATTGCTAGTATAGCTGTTGATAAAACAGTATGTATTGTCTTGCTTCAGAAAATTTTTGGGTGAGAATATTTTTGGACAAAAAGTCCACATCTAAATACCTGCTCATCATAATCTTTTTGGCTTTCAAATATGGAATATTGTCTTAAACAAAACACTCAGTAACAAATATTAATACTTAAACAGTTTAACAAAATTCAGATAGTGCAATGCTTATCATAAACCTTCATGGTACCTCTGAAGCCAAAGCTAAGTCTGCTTCTCAGAATAAAGAGCTTTCTTATACTGATTTTACAGGGGTCCATCAGTGATAATGGTCTTATCAAAGGAAAATGCTGTGGAAGAGTGGAGGAAACTAATGGGTCCAACTGATCCAGAAGAGGCAAAGAAGATCTGTCCTCAATCGATTCGAGCTCAGTTTGCACATGATATTTTGTCTAATGCTGTCCATGGATCATCTAATAGAGAACATGCACTGAAAAGCATTGAGTTCGCATTTGGAGAGATTGGTACACACTAAACAATTAAGATGCAATCTCTGGAAATTGATGTTCATGTCCTTAGATGCATTTATCTACCTAACAATCTATATTTAAGACTATATAAACACACATCTTTTCCTTCATCCAATTTTAATCAGGCAGCTTTTTATTATCAGCTTTTCCGTATTGCAAAGCATATTGATGTAACGAGTAGTGCCTGCTAGAAATTTGACATTAGTAATGATTTCTTTATGTATGCTTAGTAGAGTGTTGTTGGGGTTTTTGGTTTTTTTTGTCACTTTAACAGATTTATGCCTCTCCAATAGTTTCAGGATTCTAAGGTGTTTTGTATGTAGCTACTTTAAAAAGACAGGGTCAAGGAAGGTGATTAAAACACTATCAATGACACATCCATTGTGTCAAGCCCTACAGTTCTAACTGTGAGCCAAATGGGGCTCCTGGGCTCATTGGCCAACTGTATGCATATGCATCCCTGGTGAGGCTGCTCTGGGCTATCAAGGCCTATTGGTTCCCTCAGGGCCCTGAAAAACATTTGCGCTGTTTATTTATCCTTTCCCTAAATATCTTCTAACAATTACTGTAGCAGGTTGGATAATAAAGCAGAAGGTCCTTTCCAGCCCATTTACTTAATTCAAATATATCAAAGGAACTAAAATATAAAGCCAGCTCTTACATAACAGCTATTCTTGATATATGCCTCTTTGCCAAACTAGTGAATTCATATCCTGTCCAGCCTAACTTGGCTGGCCTCCATAAAGAACACAAATATTATTCTGCAGCTGATATATTCTCACTTTTGCTGTCTGAGTCTGTTGAAAGCTGAGATACTAAAGAGCGGCATTCAATTAAAACAATTTACTTATGGCATTGATTATAAGTGCAAAGTCCAGAAATAATGAAGTCTTTCTCACACTTTCTTTATTTTTCCTATTGTATTTAATACAATTAGCTGTTTTAAAGAGCTTCCTAACAAATATTTCTGTTGTGATGGGGCATTTGTTATTCCAGACATTCCTCCCGCAGAAGTTGGACTGAGCATTCTCCTGGTGACCCATTTTCACCTACAGCTACTTTACTGCCATAAACTCGGCTTGAGGCTACCTAGCCTGTAGGAAGTTGTGATTAGTGCAGAATTTATATGCCACTCAGTGAGGTGACTTCTGAGAAGCATAATTCAGGACTGCTGTATGTTCTTTGGCTTCTCTTTTACACATTAAAACTGTTCTTCCTGGCTTTATTTCAGCACTCAAGGTCTTTTGTGGTGCTGGCATGTTGTACTTTAAACCAAGAAGCAGTCTCAGAGAAGGCCTGAGTAGGACAATTTCAGATATATCATTCTGCTCATTTCCTGAGATCTTTCCTGGAGCTAATGGCTTCTCGATCAACGGGGCAAATACAATGTTGAAAGTTTAGATGGGTTTATTTTTCACAGGAGCACAAATACTGAAAACAGCAAAATGTGGTTATGTCTAATTAAGAGTTCATGACACATCTGGTGGAGGTTCACAATCAAATAGTTTGGTAGGTTTCATACACAGGTTATGAATACTGTGAATCATTTATTGCACTGCTCTGAGAAATTTCAGTTAGATAGGGGGATACTGTAGTTTAACCTCTGCCTATTTAAATGTAACAAAATTTTATCTACTGAGTTATTGCTTGTTTAACCATTATCCTTCATCCTCCATTACATCACTCCTAATCAACATAGCATTCTTGTCAGCTTCGTTTCACTCTTGGATGCTGAAGGATTTAGTTTATTTGGGTTCATATACTTATGTGTGTCAATTATGAGCCCTGCTTTGTGTTTAGTTAAAGCAATCCAGTAGATTACATTGAAATATTATGCATAGATTTATGGCAGCTTTTTGTTCATGTTGCCTAAGTATCCAAACCCATATTGAAATGTGGGAGCATTTGATTTATTAATGCTCATTTTCTTCTCCCAAATATGTCCTTGATCTTAATGTCTTTTAGCGGCTTTGGAAACAAGGAATTTAACAGATACATCGCCAAACATCAAAAAATAACTGTTTCAGTCAGATGATGAAGAGATTCAGATTTGCAAAGCTTTTATATCTTTGAGAAGCAGTCTTTTGTAGAATTACCAAAATATGTACTCAAAAGCATGGTAATCAAAATACCGTCAATATTTTAAGAGATAACTTCATCTCTTTAAAAGTTATTGCCCACATAATTTATACTACCATGCACTCTTTTTTGAAAATTATATTACTGTGACATTGATATGGATGTAATTTTTAAGAATTTGAACATTTGTGATGGGATTGGCAAGCATTTGATTTATAGAGTTGGGAGGAGTGTATTCCAACATAAACTCCATTGAATCTAAAAGATTAAAATCTTGCAATTAAATTTACACAATTCTACTGCCAACAAATCTTACAGAAAATCTGACTCTGTCCATTTATCTCATATCTAAATGCCAGTTCAAAAGAGAATGTGGCCTTCGTGGCTGTTTATTTAGAAAATATCTTGTGGTTCATCATAGAAATAGGTGGTGCAAAAATGTGAATAAAATTCTTCCAACACTAACAAAAGATAGCATAATCATTTTGTCCCAGCAGGAGAGAAATGGAACCACGGGGCATGTTTATTTGTACCACAGACCACATATTTCCTTGTTTAGGAACCTTAAGAAAATCATAATCTGACACTAAAGACTATATTAAAGATCAATTTCAGTTAGAATGATAAACAAGAGGGGGTTATAAATCTTAAAATACTGTTTAAGAAGAATAAGTGTGTCTGATTGTAGTGAGGTTTCGTACTGAATTACAACATAAAAAAATAAGGCATGTGGGGAAAAAGTTCTTTTCCCTGCCAAGAAGATGGAGTCAATCAGCTTGTGGTTGTGTACTGCTGCAGTTTTTCCTTTGTTCTGACTGCTGAATGAGCTACACTGGCAAGCCGGACCTTGCAAGTATCTAAATATCTGTTCACTTTGTCCACAGTTCTTTGTGAACAAATGATCAGCTTTCTGATTATCTTGTTCAGAAGACACATACTGATGTGCTCTGAGTATCTACAAATTAAAGTTTTCATCACACTGTAACCACAAGGAATCAAAATACTGAAGGTGTTGATCTGTTTGGGGCATCTTTTGGTTAATCTGATGCACCCATTAACCTTATATCTGGAATACAGACTGCCTGACATATTTAAGGGTCACTTTAGGGGTTTGATCCTCATCTAGAGAAAAGGAGTGTGCCCTCCCTTCCATATGTTTTTCTTTATGCTCGTTGCCACACTGGTTTATCCATAAGCCTTTTGGTCGCAATAGGAGCCAGTCTGATATTAATTGAATAATTTACTATTTACTGCATATCTAACAAGCCTCTGAATTTATTGCATATCTAACAAGCAAGTTTGAAACCCCGTTTTACATTTCAATAAAGTTTTTGTTTAATTTCAGAGATGTTACAGGGAATATAGTGTCAGCAGTTGCAATTGAGTGTAATTTTTCCAGAAAGCCTTGACCAGGTCTAATTAGAAGTAACGTACCTCTGTAGAAATTAATGACTTACAAGTTAATGGTTTTTTTATTATTATAAAAGGAAACATAATTTTGAATGTTTGTTGGCCCACATTGACATATTATATTTATTTACAAAATTATTGGAGCTGATGTGGTTTACCAGAAAAATCTGGTTGAGGAAATGTTTTCAGATATGTATTTACATTCAACTACTAAGCACAACCAAAAAGCATGTGTCAGTTTTGCATAATTGGAGTAAATATTTTTTTCAGGTTTCATTCATTTGGAATATAGGTTACAATTCTGGATAAAATAATTTAAGAGCTGTTTGAGTACTTTGGACTGGAAATCTTCTTTTTATTTGCTTAGGAAGTATTTCTGTTGTATGCACCGAATGGACGAAAGTTGCAACACTGAATTGAAGTGACTAGGTCATTCAGGTCTTGGAGGGTGATTTATGTGTTTTTTTAAAAAATGTGTTTCATAAAAGAGTTTTGATTTGCATTTACAGTGAGCTTCTAAAATGGTGCCAATCATTCACAATTAGAGTAAATATTTTTTCAGGTTTCATTCTCTTGGAACTGAGGTTAGAACATTCAGTGAAAATACTGAATGGCACTTCTTACTGAACTAGGCACATGTGTGTGGGAGGTAGTAAGAAATGCACTAGAAGCACATGTTTGTTGTTCCAGGCAACTTTTGGTTTATATGGAAAGAATGCCAAGCCCCTCAGTAAGAAGACAGCTATAACACTGAGAAAAAAACATTCGACACTTCAACGATTTGGCCTGTTAATTTATCATCTTTAAGTAGGTACAGTAATTACTTTCATCCATCACCAAACTATTTGCCCGCTCCGCTAAATGAAGGTTTCATGACTCTGGTGCTGGGGTGCACTAACAAGAATGGCTATACCCGGCCATGGAGGTACATGACAAGAGGTGAATTGGACCTTTTGCCTCATGCTGGAGAGTGGAGTTGGTGAGTGGACCCTGTGGGAATCCATTTGCCTGTTCTAACAGGCCTCACTGATTTAACATGTACTTCACACTTTCACAAGCGAAGGAAAGCTGGCTGGCGGGTGCGGAAGTTCTGGGCCAGGATTCATCCGGCATTTGAAGTCACAGGAAGTTAACAGTTGTAAAGGATTTTCAAAATGGAATGACTAGCATTAGTGCTGAATTGGGTTGACCTGTGGCTTCTTAAAATATAGGAAAAAATGGATTTGGAAAAGCACACTACCTTACTCATTCATCTCTTGCACACCTCTTCTTTGTATTATGATACCCCTGCTTTTTGTTGTATTGCCTTTCCTTCTTGCATATTTTTACCATATAAGAATGAAAGTTAGTCAGCATAAAGCATACATAAAAGTGTCAAGAATTTAGAAACACCTGGCTTGGTGCATCAAAGTTTATTCCAGCATACTGGAAGGGTCAACTTGCAGCAGGAATGGTGACAGTTCTCTGGAGAAAATAATTTTGACATTTTCTCCTCTGACAAAAAAAAAAGTTAGTTTGATTTTAATAGTTGTAAAATAATATGTAATGCTGCTATCAAGTCTAGGTAGCTGTTCCAAAAATTTCATTGAACAAACACCACACTTGAATATGTTCACAATAAAACTTGTTAAAGTGTAATATCATGACTTCGGTATTTGTTATTTCAACATCTCATTGATAGGACTGTTGTTTGTTCTTTAATAGCTAACCATATACATATTCACTGGGATACTTGAAATTGGAATCAATAGATAATCAAAGCTTAAGAACTCCTGCTACACAGTACATAAAACTATTCTAGAAGCTTTCCAATCATACTGAACTTTTAGATCCTGCTAACTAAAGTCAGTATTTCCAAACTTACCTGAATTAGTCACCTGCAGTGAAATTCTGTCTCCTTTGATTTCCATTTCATTGTACAGGATTAAATTTTTCCTATAGTCTGTATTTAGGCACCTAAATTTGTGGTCTGTTTTTTTAAACATGTCAAACACACCCAATTCCCACTAAAGTCAACTGATGGTATATATGCTCAGCATTCCTGGCAGCTGGAATGAATTTTGGATCTAATTCTGCAGGTGTTGCATGGAGATAAATTTCTGCATCTGCCCAGAATTGGTGGTAACGCTATTTTCAAATGCTGACCTTTGCATATTTTAACCCACTGCTCAAAGCTCAACCAGTGACCATGTAGGTTGTTTTCCCCCCCCCCCGAACTGACCTATATCCTATTATTCCATTTTTATGTATGCCTCTTTGTTTTAAGCATTCTAGCTTGGTATCTATGTCTCCAGCTTGTGCTAGCATATATCAAGTATATAATTGCTGCCACCAAAATCACTCCTGCATATTCAGCCTTGAATTTCATGCATGTAAACTTCATTGCAATTCTTGTAATAACAAAGATCAACATACTGACACGACAAATTGTATCTCCTTATGTTAATCCACACAGAACTCTTTTTTTTTCTGAGGTAGACCCTTTGTTTTATAAACACCAGGACTGGCAAGTCTAGCCCTTAGTTTTCCTGTAGGAATTCTTGAAGGTCTTTCAGATTTCTATCATGAGCTCTTCTGATCTTAATGTAGGTGATCTTATGTGTTAAATGAAATTGAAATCAGAATGTGTTATCTATGCTGCCTCATCCAAGTACACCTTGGAAGAACAGCATAAATACCATCTTGGAGTTATGTTGATTAGGTTTATATCCCCTTTCTATTCTAATACTTCATACAGCAAATGTTAAGTCAGTAAACTTACTGCATAAATAAAAGTATCTGCCTTTTCTGTCGACCTTTTCAGAGTAAATGTTACTTTCTGATCAGCAAAACTGCAGAGAGAGAGTTGCTTTGAGAAGTTCATTAGTAGTGACAAGGGCTATTTATTTATTTATTTATTTGGTATCAGAGAAAGATTAGAAATATGGTGTCAAGTGATAAAAAATTATCCACATGATTACTGAGCCACATGAAGTCTTATCTTCTCCTTCATACTGTATAGTACCTGTCAGTTATGTTTAGGATAAAGCTTCTATTCCAGTTTTCATAACAAGGCTATATTACAGCAAAAGTAAATTTTACTTTTAAGACTTCTACAGATCTGATTCACTTTAATCTGTCCTTTCAAAAAATATTGATTTTTCAATTAGATGCTTAAATATATTTGAAATTAGAACAACAGAAGCCAGCCTGAAGTGCCATAAAAAATTAAATGTGTGCTTTCAATGCATTTTTCCTACACAAACCCACAAGATCAAATACTAACACTGTAAGCATATTTTCATCACACACATAAAAATAATCACATAATGCATACCCACATGCTTAATGGTAAACTATGCTTTTGAACACTCTGAACAAGGGCCGTGATTCCAAAAAGTGGATAGATTCAGCTCCAGTAGTTGCTCACCGAGATGTCTGCCAGAAGTTACCATCCCTCTGCTGTTCCTCAGCTGCTGTGTCTGGTGAGCTAACTCACAAACTCACTAACTATTACACCTACTGAGGAGAGATGCTCCATGCAGCTCTCCAACTTTTGGCAGGGAAGCAGAGCAGTCAACTGCCACAAGGAGTCAAAAGCTCTGACAGCCAAGGCTAGTTCTATCTAGAATTGCAAATCAGAGCCCAAAGATAAAGCTCAGTCAGCTGGAATATGCCTACCTCTTATTAGTGCAAACCTATGCTCTATGGCTTACAGTGACTTGAAAGGAGAAGCAAACCTCTTAACAGTAAAGTGCAGCAAAAAGGTCTATGTAGAAAGTGACATGATTTTTTAAGTCAGTGAGTTCCAGATTAATAAAACATGCCGACCAAGCCAGATTGTGACCCTTGTCGTGCAGGGAAAGTCTTTCCTTTTGGAAATGTCACTCTCATACTTTTTTAGGGTTGATTTCTTTCTGGCCATGTCTTATTTTAGTGGCCTTTTTGGGGCCACTGATCAGTGGGCTGGTATTCTTGGTTGATGGTTTCAGGGCTCCAGTCTGACCACTGCGTCCTGAATTCTGGTTCTTACTGCGGGCAGTTCGCCGCTTTTGCTCTTGCAGTCTCTGCTCCCATCTCTGTAGAAATGCAGAACACAAAGAGGATGAATTAGGGAAGGACATAACCATAAATAATTATGAGTTAATGCTATCCCAAACCACTGATACTAGTGCTGCTTTTAACAGTTTTGTGCTCTATACTGCAAGGCCATTGACGTCAACATGTTGTGACTATTTGCAAGGGGAACGTGATGCGTGTTCTTGGGTGGAGGGAATTTCCATGATACCAATGGATGGAAATAACAACTGCTCATCTCGTGTGCATGCTGCAAGTGCCTTTTCAGAAATCCATGGGAAGTGGCAACATGCCATCAAATGCCAGGATCAGCACACTGGAACTCCCTGGCAAGTCCCTTCCTCGCTGTCTTACTGAATGTGCTACTTGACTTCTCCTCAGAAAAGTCTGCAGAAATCAAATTATCCTTTCACAATTATATCTAAGAAGACAGCTACAAGGGAAGGTGGTACTTTTTTTCTGGTTCTGCTTTTCCGAAGTGGGGAGAGGACGTGGCATGAACAAGCTTATGTTACGGACAAGTATTGGAAATGACCACTGAAATCACAGTGTTCAGAGCTGCAATGACATAGTTGTGAATAATGCATCTGCAGCTTTATTCAGCAGCATCCCTGAGAAATTTTGAAAAGCAATTAGATCAATGAGCCCACCAAAGAGAAGAGCTGTCAGATTTTCAAAACCCAATAGTGCAGTGGTTAGAAAACAGGTTTTTACATTGGGTTTAAGTGGTTAGGTCTCCAAAATGTAGAGGGATCCACAACACCACAGCAGAGATTTCAGTCTTTCACCTCTAGGAACAGAAATACCTATTTTAAGGAAAACAATGCAAACAATAGAAACTCCTAAGGACAGGGGGTTTACCCAAGTGATCAGAGCAAGAGAATTGCTCTCCAGCTTCCCAGTTTAGTATCTCTGCACTGACCCTGTTGCAACTCAGACTCTTGTCCTCACTAGAGAAGAGACCAGTCATGTTGTGGTTATGCTAACAGCTGTCTTCTGTGGTTCACAGACAGCTCAAAACATCCATTTCAAGCGGTAACTCAAGGCAAAAGTCGGATGAAAGTCTTCACAGATGAATGATGGACATTAAAATGAAGACACTATGATACCAAGCTCCATACTCACTTTGTGCAGTCATGGTCATTTTATGCATCTTTATAAAAAAGAACTATCAGCAGTCATTTGTTTAGTTGTGTCCCACTCAAATATGTTTAAATGAGGATTCAGTTTATGAAACTATTTATATCAGAGGAAATGACATGTGCTTTGAGAACTAATTTGTTTGGTAGTCATGCATCTATTTGACAGTCTGAAAATGAATGCCCAAAGATCTTTCAAGGTACAATTAGAAATGACAAAACAGTGTAAGGAGACAAATAAAACACAGTGTGCCAGTAACAGGCTATTAAGTAGACAGCTAAGGAATTTAAAGAGTCTGAGCCATATATCAATATTCTTCTGAATCCCACATGGTATCCTCTGCAATTGCCATGCATTTATTTTTTAAAGATTTAAAGCATGTTTTCATTTCAACACATAGGTGTCATATGAGTAAGTGAAAATGGCATGATATAAGCATCAAAAACAATTCCCTGCAAGAAGCTGGTCTGTAATCTAAAAGGTTCTACTTAAATATTCCTACATCATTTGCCAATCAACTTATAACTAAAATAAACATACACGTGTCCTCAATGCTCTGAAACCTTTTGTG